TGGTTGACTGTATCATATGCTGCAGACAGGTCAACAGAGACTGCACCGGTTACCATCCCTTTCTCAAAACCATCTTCGATGTGTTGTGTCAGGTTGAGCACTTGGCTTGTTGTTGATTTTCCAGGACAAAATCCTGCTTGCTCAGGGATGAGGCGTTCGTCTACTGTTGGAGCTATTCTGTTAAGGATTAGTATTCGAACAGCTTGTAGGTATGGCTGAGAAGTGTAATTGGTCTGTAGCTCTTTGGGCTTGATGGATCTTTCCCTGGTTTTAGCAGCTTTATCACATGATCTTTCTTCCAGATCTTAGGATGCTTATGTGTTGTCTGACAGTGATTATACAACTGCAGAAGCCACTTCTTTGCCTCAGGTCCAAAGTACTTGATCTGCTCAGTTGCGATGTTGTCTAGCCCAATGGCCTTTCCTGGTTTGAGACTTGACAAGCCGATTTCTAGCTCTTCCATGGTGAATGGTCTTGTGAAACCAGGGTCTTCGGTGCACTTGTTACGGTCTAGCTTGATCCTTTGCTGTTTTTTTTTCGCTTTTCCCATTCAAGAGCAATTGATGCGCAACTTGATTTGCAGTGACCTTGGATTGTTGAGGGGCAAAACGTTCGGATCACCACGAAGCTTGCGGATTAGAGACCTCGCCTTCTTGCTGTTCTTTGACATGTCTGTTGCCTCAAGCAGTGCGTTCCAGGTTTGTTGGCGCTCTTGGTAGATGCTTTCCATCACCTTCTCCCCAGCTGATGTTGTTGCCTCTGAGAAGGGATCAGTTTCAAACATTGTAACATAGTCATTGTAAAGAGCAGCTGCCTCTTTAGAGAGACCAGGAATATACTCCACCCTGCAGCCTCGGGGGATGTGCCTTCGTGCAGTTTTAACAAGTTCGGTGAACATGTTATAGTTATCCAGTGTGGGTTTGATGTTTTTGATCTTCTGTTCCAGCTCCTGACTGAATCCATTCCAGTCAGCTCTCTTGTAGTTAAAGCGCCTTTTAAATGGCACAACGGTAGGTACTACTGCTGCGTTGACTTGGATACCAATAGGACGGTGTTGAGTCTGTGGTACAGGATCCATTACAATCTTCTAACACAGACCTGCAATATCACAGGTGACAGCAGCTAAGTCTGGGGTGTAGCCACGTCTCCAACGGGCGCTATAGAATGATGGAGGCAATTTGGGGTCATGGATAAGACTAAGCTGGTTGGCATCCATCCACTCTTCAACCGCTTCTCCATCCTTGTTTGTATCCATGTAGCCCCACTGGGTACTCTGACAGTTTAAGTCTCCGATTATAACTTGTGGTTTGTTGTAAATTTGAGGAACAGGATCTCGGAAGCTGAAGACTACTCCTGGTGGTTTGTATATAGATGTTATCACAATACTGCTCAACTCAACAGTTAGAACTTTGATGTTTTGTTCTTCTGATCTTGAGGTAGCTTCTATAGCAGAGCCTGGTTTGACAAAGATAGCACTGCCATACTGACGATGGGGATGCTCACATGCCAAGACCATACCATGTATTTTGGGACGGTTGTTCTCGTTCCCTCTGTGTGTCTCCTGCAAGCATAGGATGTCACAATGCATCTTACTGCAAAGCTCAGCTAGGATGTTATGCTTTGAAGATGAGAACCCTTCGACATTTGCAGAGATAACGCAAAATACTGACAAAGGACTTTTGTATTTTATCTTTTCAGGACTGTTTGGTAAACATGCAGCAACACCATGAAAGAACAGGACATCATTAAGCAAACCATCCTTGTCGATTAGCATTTTCTCATTCTCGGTTGTCACATAAAGGTATAAATACATGAACAAGAAAAAACAAGTCAGGTGTGTTTACAAACACAAATGCCCCGCAACGGTGACAGTTCCCATGACATAACACCACTCTTTTAACATCAACTTACATGTACCTTGGTCACATGGAACATTCATTGACAGCATTAGTGTCTTCTGTAGGTTTTATATGAATTAATCCCTAATCCCTATAATCTCAGAATAAATACATGATTTCTATTGTTTTAGCCACTGTGAACTTGACCCTTGAGCCCCAAATTCAATAGGCTTCTTAGGATTACCAAGAACAATCCACAAACCAAATTTGAAGTTCATATGTTAAGTATTTCTCAAGTTATCGCGCTGACAAGATTTCTATTGTTTTAGCCACTGTGAACTTGACCCTTGACCTTTTGGCCCCAAATGCAATAGGCTTCTTAGGATTGCCAAGAACAATCCACAAACCAAATTTGAAGTTCACATGTAAAGTATTTCTCAAGTTATCGCGCTGACAAGATTTCTATTGTTTTAGCCACTGTGAACTTGACCTTTGGCCTTTTGGCCCCAAATGCAAAAGGCTTCTTAGGATTACCAAGAACAATCCACAAACCAAATTTGAAGTTCATATGTTAATTATTTCTCAAGTTATCGCGCTGACAAGATTTCTATTGTTTTAGCCACTGTGAACTTGACCTTTGGCCTTTTGGCCCCAAATGCAAAAGGCTTCTTAGGATTACCAAGAACAATCCACAAACCAAATTTGAAGTTCATATGTTAAGTATTTCTCAAGTTATTGCGCTGACAAGATTTCTATTGTTTTAGCCACTGTGAACTTGACCTTTGGCCTTTTGGCCCCAAATGCAAAAGGCTTCTTAGGATTACCAAGAAACAATCCACAAACCAAATTTGAAGTTCATATTTTAAGTATTTCTCAAGTTATCGCGCTGACAAGATTTGTCCGGACACACACACACACACACACACCCACACACCCATACTTGTTTCACATGACTAGTGTGGACTTTCCATTGCTTTCGTGTAGTTAAGAAAAACCAGTGAAAAAACTCATTTTTCTCAAACTGTGAAAACTCTTTCAACCCAATTTTTTTTCTATGATTCCCTTTAGTGTTTCTCTTCATTCTGCTACAGATAAACCTAACCCAAAAATGCCTCTAAACCTGTTTTCCAGAAATGGGGAAACACTGTGTGGACGTGGGGTAAGTCCACACAACGTCGGTGCTACCTACATTATGTGGACGTCTTTTGTTCGGAAGTCCACACTGCGTATGTAAGACAAACTCACTCACCCACCCACCCACCCACCCACCCACCCACCCACCCACCCACCCACACCCACCCACCCACCCACCCACCCACCCACCCACCCACCACCCACCCACCACCCACCCACCCACCCACCCACCCACCCACCCACCCACCCACCCACCCACCCACCCACCCACCCACCCACCCACCCACCCACCCACCCACCCACCCACCCACCCACCACCCACCCACCCACCCACCCACCCACCCACCCACCCACCCACCCACCCACCCACCCACCCACCCACCCACCCACCCACCCACCCACCCACCCACCCACCCACCCACCCACCCACCCACCCACCCACCCACCCACCCACCCACCCACCCACCCACCCACCCACCCACCCACCCACCCACCCACCCACCCACCCACCCACCCACCCACCCACCCACCCACCCACCCACCCACCCACCCACCCACCCACCCACCCACCCACCCACCCACCCACCCACCCACCCACCCACCCACCCACCCACCCACCCACCCACCCACCCACCCACCCACCCACCCACCCACCCACCCACCCACCCACCCACCCACCCACCCACCCACCCACCCACCCACCCACCCACCCACCCACCCACCCACCCACCCACCCACCCACCCACCCACCCACCCACCCACCCACCCACCCACCCACCCACCCACCCACCCACCCACCCACCCACCCACCCGATGATTATCGGAAATAACTTTTAAAAGTAGGATATAAACATCCACACAACTATCCTTTTAAAACTGGGCGTTTTTGTGTTATTCCTGTATTATGTGTGCGAGAACGCATTTCGGGAACCACTTTTGCGACCCCATAAATTCGAGCTGTTTGGATGCTAGTTGTGATTTCATTCGTACGCGTAAAGTGTTCGCCTTTTGCGGACGTTGAAGAAACCACAATTTTTTGCATTGGTGATTGGTCATTGCACGCTGTTCCTGAGACACACAACGTGTATAGCGTACATGAGAACGACACGAAAAACGTATTCGTACTCCGTCATGTCCGATGTAAACAAGCTGGCTTTTTCGTCTTTTCTTGGGAACGGTAAGACATTAGGTTGGTTTCCTTTCAACCAGATGTTTGAAATAGGCTAAGTAAACAATCCAAAACATAACATTTTGGGGGATTTCAGGACCTAGTGCCCCTTTAAATTCTGGTAGCCATGTACAATGAGCCAGCATCCTGTGCTCCTACATCGATAGACTAGTTACATTGTGACCAGTTATACAGGGTGTTTAAACAAACATTCCCATCTTCAAATGTAAATTTTCACAAATCCAGACATATCCAGAAAACAATCAGTATGTCCTCTATTCAATGGTATTGAGTTCATTACGTCATTGCCATGGATAACTGCGGTGGACATTGATAAATGATAATAGGTGCTTAAATGAAGGAATAAGACAACCTTTCTGATCACCCAATCATTTAATTCATTTCTGTGGAAGTTGTACTGTACATTTTACGGTCATTTGCCTTAGTGGCCCACCCAGGATTTGGCTGGGGGGGGCCTCAAATTTTTTTTTTTTTCAAATTTTTTGAAGTTTAAAAAACTTTTTAAAATGTTGCCCAAAATATTTGGCTTGAGAAAAAAAAAATTTGGGTTTTTTTTTTTGGGGGGGGGACTATTTTGACATTGGTGGCACCACTTACTACTTACTTATTATACTACTCGAAAATAGGCCACATACATATCACCAAGGCCAAATTGTGGGACTAAAAAAAAATTCCAAAAAAAAAAAAATTTACAACCTGGGGGGGGGGGCTCAAGCCTTTTGTTCTTTTGTTTATACTTTCACTTTTGCTTAGATAAATCACCAAGTACTAAATTGTCTTAAAAGAGATCTTTAGCAGCACCCCACAGTACATTTCATATTTGAATGGGATGTAATTACCATAGTTTGGTGGGCCTCCATATGCAGGGTTACTCATAGCACTCTGTTGAGGGACAGTCATTTGTGGTCCGGTAGTATAACACACCTGTAAAATGTAAGGATCATTTCTTAGAATTCATGTCATACAGTTTGTAATTCATGTGTGGTTTGCTGTCTAGTATGCAAAAACCCAACCCATTTATAACAAAGGGAAAACATATGACGAAAATGGGCACTTCAGGAATTTCTTTGCTTCATTACCATTAATGAATTATAACAGTATATCATGTACATGTATATCAAATGCTTGAACAAATGAAACTAAGCTCATAAACATAGAAACCCAACTCACCATTACCTGCATTCAGAGTTAAATGAGATTGTATTGTCTCTTGACAAACTCACGTGTTCAAAGAAACAATGCAATAGGCACTCATAAGGGTCCTTATACATGTACACGCAACCATTAGTATATGGTATTGTGACGGAACAGGGGTAGTCTGATGTCAAGGCTAGTTTTAATGCAGTAGAAACTCGTTCTGGTGCTGTTGCCAATGTTGCAAGAAGCCAAGCTTGTGGCGGTAGGAACAAGCCAAGTTCTGGTGCCCTTGCTGGGGTCATCCGTGGCTGCTGTGCAGCAGTGGAACTACCATGTGGTCGGAGTAGTAGTGGTCTGATGGTGATCACGCTCTGGTGCTCCAGTGCGATTGAGTGTAGCAGTCCGTGTTATTTAAGACAGCCAGTTATTTAAGATTATTGTTATCTAAGATTTAGGTGGATTTGTAGTGGGTGTACAACTAATTAATGGGTTTGGATTAGTGTTGGAACAAAAGGGGCAGGAGTTGTAAAGAGCAGTACTTTGATTTGTGGTGCATTGCTTGTCGTCTGTTGCACACCATATGGTGGGGGTGATGACTGAGACGATCCCGCAATCACTGGGCTACCTTGTCTATCAGGTTGACTATTTGTAGCACTCTGAGTTCTTGTGAGGGTCACCATCTTTGTGTGAAGGTTATTATCCCCTCGTCTAATCAACCCGAACACTCCATGTAGTTGGCTGAGGGTTACTGTAGAACCCATGAGATATACCTTAAGCTTTGCTGTCATTGAGCTGAGCCAGGTTCAGGTATATGGACTCTTTGTGAGAGTTATTGTAATAACTTAATCCATGTGCGGGGTATTGCATGTAAGGATTATATTGTATAAATCCACTGTGGCATAACAAAGTGAAGTTGTCTGCATAAATGGTCAGCTTTGATTGCAGTCAAGTCATTAATGTAAGGAAAGATTCCATAAGACTCCATCTTGTGTAACAAACAATTGTGCCAAACTTTATCAAAAGGCTTTTGACATGCCAGGGGCGATGAGTCTAGATTAATCCCGGCACATACCGTTATTTTATTTTACCGTTTTGGATTTCCTCAAAAACAAAAACAGTAAACGAACCATTGACTGTTTTGTCGTTTTACAGTTTTGTAAAACGTTCAAACGGTATTAAGTCACAAAAAACAATGACCTTTTTGTTATTTTTTTTTAATGTAAAAAGCGATAAACGGTTAGTTGCTTTATTTTTAGAGTGTTGTTTTACAAAAACATGACAATGACAAAACGGTCAATAGTCTCGTCGACCATTTTTTGATTCAGGTTTGGCAATTAAGCAATGCACCTTGCAATGTTAATGTGTCCTTGGGATCGTTTCACTGCCTGGGAGATTGCCCTCCTTACAATTACACTGTATCACGTTCTCCCGACAAAATTTGCAAATATTGGCTATTGAGGAGCCACGCCAAACTCAGGCTCCAATTTCCGTCAAAATATCTGCAACTTCTTCATACGTCTTACCACCCTGTATCCATTCTGAAATGTCCTCCTTGAAATTTTCCAGTGCCATTTTGCTTGCAACTCTTTAAGCCCCACCAATTAATCACAGTACTAGATGGGGGTCAGGGTTACGCCAGGAATCACACCACGCATTAATTATGCCGAGGTAACACTTCTTCATGCGCAGCATGGTCCCCTCCACCCCCTTGCCCACCGCCACAAAATGCACTACGGACTGTTAACTATGACACTGAAATAAAAAATAAAAACTGTCTGTATTCAATACTGACCGTTTTGCTGTTTTTCAAAGTTATTTGTGTAAAGCTGGAAAACAAAAATCAATGATCGTTATGCTGTAATGAATTTTACTCAACTGATAAAATGGAATAACCGTATTTATCTTAATACCGTTTGACCGTTTTACAAAACTGTAAAACGACATAACAGTCAATGGTTCGTTTACTGTTTTTGTTTTTGAGGAAATCCAAAATGGTAAAACGAAATAACGGTATGTACCAGGATTTATATTCAATCCCAGGACATACCGTTATTTCGTTTTACCATTTTGCATTTCCTCAAAACAAAAACAGTAAACAAACCATTGACCGTTTTGTCGTTTTACAGTTTTGTAAAACGGTCAAACGGTATTAAGATAAATACGGTTTCTCCGTTTTATAAATAGTAAAATTCATTTATAGCATATAACGATCGATCGATTATTTTTGTTTTACAGTTTTACACAAATAACTTTGAAAAACAGCAAAACGGTCAGTATTGAATACAGACTGTTTCTTTATTTTAGTGTCATAGTTAACAGTCCGTGGTGCATTTTGTGGCGGTGGGCAAGGGGGTGGAGGGGGACCATGCTTTACACGAGTGTTGGCTCGGCATAATTAATGCGTGGTGTGATTCCTGGCGCGGACCCTGACCCCCTTCTCATGCGATTCAGTTGGTGGGGCTTAAAGAGTTGCAAGCAAAAATGGCGCTGGAAAACTGCAAGGGAGGGCATTACTTTTTACAATGGCTACAGGATGGTAAAACGTTTGATGAAGTTGCAGATATTTTGAAGGAAATTGGAGTTCAAGTCGACGCGGCTCTTCAATAGCTAATTCGCAAATTCTGTCGTGAGAACGAAAATGTAAGGAGGGCCCAGGCAATGACTCGATCCCAAGGACGCATTAACATTCCTAGGTGCATTGCTTAATTGCCGAACCTAAATCAAAAAATGGTCGGCAAGACTATTGACCGTTTTGTCATTGTCATGATTTTGTAAAACAACACTCTAAAAATAAAACAACTAACCGTTTAACGCTTTCTACAATTAAAAACAACAACAAAAAGTATTTTTTGTGTGTGACTTAATACCGTTTGACCGTTTTACAAAACTGTAAAACGAAAAAACGGTGAACGGTGCATTTACTGTTTTTGTTTTTAAAAAAATCCAAAACGGTAAAACGAAATAACGGTATGTCCCGGGATTATATTCCCCATGCTGATCAACAGCTTTATTCAGATGTTCCATGTAAGGGATAGGTCTCTATTGGAACGTGAATGACGAAAGCCCTGCTGCACACCTTTCAAGGGATTATTTTACTCCAAGATGTTCATGAGTTGCTGATTCATCAGGAACTCAAGAACTTCATTCATGATGGAGGGGAGGCTAATTGGCCTATAGTTAGCAGGGTCAGAATTCTCCCCAGAGCCTTTAAACACAGGCACAACTGATGTCAGCTTCCAACTAGATACAAATTCAGATTTAGACAAACACAGTATTGCACAGGTTAGTGAACACTGAATGTGAGCAAATCTTCAAAACAATGGTGGGGATCTGATTAGGACTAGAAGCCTTGAAGATGTCCAGAGAACTGATTACCTTAGCAACCTTGTCAGTATGGGGATCGCCAGGATTTTGAAAAAGTTGCTGAAGGTGGGGGAAGGGGGAACGGGACATGATTTGATGCTCAATATACATATTATGTAAAAAAAAAAAACGCGCGTATTAGGGTCTTTTCGGCAGTTCCTACTGCTAAATATACATTGAATGAACAGTATTATATTCAATTTGAATCTCTCCTAATCTTTTTCCTTTTTGTTTTCCCTCTTCTCCCCCTCCCCCAGGCACAGTTCTAGAGCCAATATTTTGGCGGGGGCTAGCAGGGTGGATCAAGATTCATTGGCGGATCCAGGGGGTGTTACGGGGGCGTGCGCCCCCCCCCCCCCCCCGGCAGTGACCAAAATTTTGTAAAATAAGGCCATTTTTCACTCAAATGAGCCGTTGCGCCCCCCCCACGAACCTAACTGGATCCGCCACAGATTTTTTTTCAGGGAGGCGTGCTGAAATGTAGACTGGTTATTTTCTCCGGACACTTAGGCCTCCGAAAACCAAGGGGGGGGGGGGGCTCGTGTTGCCATATTTTCAATGGGGAGTGCTGATGAAGTCCTACAATTAGGCACACTATATTAACTACAAGTGTACTAATGCACCCTTCTCACGACTATTTATTTAGGGGGAGACCGTTCGCATAACGTGTACGTCACATGCTCAAATTTGGCTAGTGAAATTTTGGGGGGGGGGGGGGCTGGACAACATTGGGGGGGGGGCCTGAGATTTGATGCATGGTTTGCATGGTGGAGGGTAATAATAAGGCGGTTGTTGCGGTAGCACCATGTGGCAAAATCTCTTTTTGTGAGTATGTGTGGTTCTGAAAAGAACCGGAGAGATGAACATGTTAAAATGTCTGTGGATTTGGTCAAAAACTGGGTATTGTTAACAGCGGCGGCGGTATGGTTTCAAACCTGGGGGTTATCACCAAAAAGGGGCACTTGCTCAGTAAAAGGCATCTTCTGTTGGTGCAGCAGCGTATCCAGCAAATTTTTTGGGGGGGGGGGGGCACATCCGAACTGAAATGTCAACACTTTTTTTTTCACTAGACACTTGGTTTGCCAACCCCCCCCCCCCCCCCCCCCCGGTACCACCGCCCCTGATTGTTTAGTTTAAATTATGTAATTTTCTGTACATCTCCTGTTTACATGCAAAATGCAAGTGTTCTTGTGTGTTTTTAATAAGGACAGTATTGCTTACCATTACATTGGGCTGAGGTGTAGAGTGGCCTGTGCTGCAACATAAGGCTCCACAACTCATGCCAGCACCAACTATTGCCACTACAGCATCTGTAAATGCCAACAGACAGAGAAGGACACCAACAGCAACACGTGCCTCCTTAAATGATTAAAAAAAAGATACACAAAACCTGATATAATGTGGCAATTTCTGTTTCCATTTGTTGTTAAAGTAGTCATAAATTCTGTTTAGGTTCAGAGACAAATGAAAAAGACCTATACCAAAACAAATGTATCAATTAAAAATGTATCGTAAGTCAGGGCCATGCCAAATATACAAACACAAATCCTAATTGTCAGCTGAGACTGGCTCTTGTTTTCATCAGTGCATTTCAAAATCAAATATCAAGTCCAATTCGGAATAACCAAATATTTAATTATTCTAAAAATGCAACCCCTATCCAACATCCACTTACATACGTGTGCATTGCAAATTGTCAAAAAAAGATATTTGAACCTTATATTTGAGCTCAATAGTTCAAAGGATAACATTCTTACTTACATGACTTGACAAGCATGTCGCACTATCTGGGCTGTAACTATACCTGCAAAACATCCTGTCGAATCCTGCAGACATAGCAGCAAGCGTGATGATAGCAACAGTTGCCATGGATCCCACGATGGCCAGTACCATGTAAGCAGTGATCTACCGAATAGGAAGTACAAATCTGTATGATTAAACATCCAGCAAGGGAAATTAAAATAACAATTGGGACAGGCCCAATCATTTAACAAAGCTTGTTCCATATACTGTTAGTATTGTGGCACAAATTACTATAGCAGCGTAGTCTAGAGAGGGCGCGCTCGCGGCTGTGGGCCCTATATAAGGCCCCGGGGCAGTTGCCACCCAGACACACACAGTCACAAATTAGACTCGCATCAGAAACACTCTCAGACACAACCTTCCGGGCGTACGCCGAGAGCATCTACGGGGAAGAGACGGTAGGCATTAGGTTGCGCGCGCTGACGGGCGTGTGCTGGGTGGTGCGGTGAAGTCGGGCTGGCATAAGGAGGCACGGAGTCCGCGGAGGCTACTGGAGGCGGAGCGACATACATCGATCTGCCGTTGTAACGTGACGGAGCCGGAAGGGCGCGCTCATCTACCCGCCGCCTTGAGGAAGGATCACGACTGGAAACGGTCGAGGGCGGGAGAGTAGAGGCGCACAGCGTTCATTGTCAAGGGTATGGACACTTTTTACGAGATTGTCCAGAAAAGAGAAATAAAACTAAGCCTCAGGGAAACGGCAATCAGCCTCTCCTAGGACCCGAGGAAGGGCTGAAATCACAGCAGGGTCAACCGTCAACCTAAAACCAACCCGGAAGCAGAACGGAAGATACTGGTACCAACAATTTCTCCCAAAAAAGGACTTTATGTTAAGGGGAAGATTCATTCCCTTGACATTCCACTCCTTGTGGATACCAGAACTACTGATACAGTTATTTCAGCCGAGGTATATTACAGAATTCCAGCTGAGAGGCGGCCGAGGCTAGAGACAGATGGCTTAAAAGTGTTTCAGGCGGATGGGACACCGATAGAAACTTAGGGCTTGGCACAAATTGAGGTACAGGTAGAAAGAACCATTTTTCCAGTACGTGCAGTTTTTGCAAAGGTTAAGGCACAAGGAATTCTGGGGATGGACTTTCTCATACTCACGGGAGGAATAATGGACTTTAAGACCTTGGAGCTTGTGTTGCATGGAGAACACATCAAGTGTACAAGCCGATGGGGAACAGCGTTATGCACAAGGATTTTGGTAGCCAGAACTACTGTCATACCACCGAGACATGAAACCATTATACCAGGGAGGATGGATAAGTCACTTGATTCGTGTCATGTCGGTGTAATAGAGCCAGTCGGAGGAGGCGAAGTGGTAGCGGATAAGGGCCTTATAGTTGCGAGGTCACTGGTGAACATGGATGGAGGTACACTACCGCTGTGGGTATTGAACCCAGGGAGGCAGGAGTGCGTTCTGTGCTGTGGGGTTACTGCCGGCTGCCTCACCCCAGTGGATGAAGAGGATGTAGATGAGGTGCGACAGGAGGCTATGGAAAAAGGAACGGAAGATGTACATGTCCCCGGACACCTTCAGGACCTCTGGAAGCGAAGCGTTGAAGGGCAAGATACACGCTATCATTACGCCATTGCTGGGTTGCTGTCGGAGTTCTCGGATGTATTTTCCAGAGGAGACCACGACCTAAGGAGGACTGACAGGGTGAAACACACCATAGACACCGGAAGTGCCAGACCTGTTAGGGAAAGACCGAGGCGACAACCCCTGTGTAAGCAAAAGGAGATCGACAAGCAAGTGGATGACTTGTTAAAGCGGGGGATTATAGAGCCATCCGACAGCCCGTGGGGGTCCAATGTAGTTCTCGTTCGGAAAAAGGACGGAACGCAGGGGTTTTGTGTGGATTACAGAGGGCTCAATGAAAGGACGATCAAGGACGCTTTCCCCGTCCCACGAATCGATGACACCCTTGACGCACTAGCGGGGGCAAGATGGTTTTCAACCCTAGATCTTTCCTCCGGCTATTGGCAAGTCGAACTTGATGAAGAGGCCCAGAAGAAGTCTGCCTTTGTTGTGCGCGGGGGAATGTACAGCTGGAGGGTTATGCCTTTCGGTCTGTGCAATGCCCTCGCCACATTCGAGAGTCTCATGGAGAGGATAATGAGTGGCCTCCAGTGGGAAACCTTGCTCGTCTATTTAGACGATGTTATTGTGTATGGACGAACCATCGTGGAGGAAATCAACCGTTTGAGGGAGGTTCTGCAGAGGTTACGTGAGGCTGGACTTAAATTAAAGCCAAGAAAATGCCACCTCTTCCGACAGCAAGTTAAGTATCTGGGACATGTGGTGTCCCCGGAGGGAGTATCTACCGATCCAGACAAGCTGGAGGTGATACGATCTTGGCCAACTCCGACTGACGTCCAAGGACTGAGGAGTTTTTTTGGGTTGGCCTCGTATTATAGAAGATTCATCAGAGGTTTTGCTGATGTGGCTCGCCTGCTCCATAGGCTAACTGAGAAAGCACGTGTCTTCCACTGGAGTGACGAATGCCAGGAGGCGTTCCAAACCTTGAAGACTCACCTGCAAGAGGCGCCAATACTGGCATACCCAGAACCCGAGGGCAAGTTCATATTGGATACAGATGCTAGCGGAGTCGGCATCGGAGCTGTTTTGTCGCAAGTGCAAAATGGAGAGGAGCGCGTTATTGCCTACGCGAGAGGAATTATTGCGTGACGCGCAGAGAGCTCCTTGCAATTATTGTCTATCTTAAACACTTCAAGCAGTACCTATACGGACAAGAGATATTTGTTCGAACGGACCATGCGGCATTAAAGTGGTTAGTCACTTTTAAGAACCCAGAGGGGCAAATCGCTCGATGGCTGGAGGTGCTTGGGCAGTACACCTATGAAATAGTTCATCGCCCTGGGAAGAAACATGGAAATGCAGACGGCATGTCACGTCGACCTTGCAAGCAGTGTGGACGTGTGGACGACGATACTGTAGAGGCACCTACGCCGGCGGATGTGAGAGAGGTTGTTGCCGAGCCAAACGTTACCACAGACGACTTGCGGGAGGGTCAGCTGAAAGACCCCTCCATTGCCTGGGTAGTACTTGGGAAAGAGGAGTCGGATCAGAGGCCAGATTGGAAGAGCATGTCCTCCCGTGCAACTGCGGTCAAAGTTTATTGATCGCAATGGGGCCAGCTAGAGATGAGACAGTCAGTGCTATGTCGGCGATGGGAATCAAACGACGGTAGGGAGGTAAAGTGGCAGATAGTCCTCCCAGTCGGCCTTCAAGAGGTGAAGATGGATGAGTTGCATGGAGGGAAGACCGGAGGACACTTTGAAATCAGTCGCACACTTGCGAAGTTGAGATTGAGATATTACTGGTCTGGAATGGTGGCGGACGTGAGAGCCTGGTGCAGGAAATGCAATATCTGTGCTAAACGAAAGTCGCCCGCTTGGAAGAGGCGTGCACCGCTCAGACAGTACAAAATCGGGGCTCCGATGGAAAGGGTGGCGTTGGATCTCGTCGGCCCAATGCTGGAGACAGAGGGAAGCAACAAATGGGTGCTTGTTATAGCCAACTACTTCACCAAGTGGATGGAGGCTTATGCCCTCCCCGACAGTACAGCCGAGACGGTAGCCAAGGCATTTGTGGAGAACTTTGTTTGTCGATATGGCGTACCAAAAGAATTGCACTCAGATCAGGGTCGCAACTTCGAGGCAGATTGTAATTGAGGTCATTGAAGGTTGAGGGGCATGGGTGAGTGCCGCTACGCGTATAGGGCGGTATATTTCCATCCAAACGGGCCTGCATTCCCGGCTGCTGGGGTACTTATCCTAAGCTAGGTTGTCTGGGTAAAGGGACTACGGATCGGGTCACAGATATTCCCGCCACAGTATATCAAATATTTAGAAAAGGATTCCAAAAAGGTGACCTAGCAATTGTTCAAAGGGTTACCCCACATTTTTCTTACTATATTTTTCCCCACATGAGAAATATTCTTAAGTGTGCGGGGGTGTACACACACCCCCACTTAGTTTTATTATACTTGTGAGCACCCTTATTGTTCTTTTCTTTGTTGACTTTTACTCTTTCTCGACACTTCTGATAATGTTTGTACACGAAAACCTTTGGAAGGTTTGGGCTCAGGTCCTCAGAGTTATGTTATCAAAGGCAACCCATTGTCCCAAGTTGTCAGACGTAAAAGACAAGATCATGGTTCCTTGTGGGGGGGGGCAGCATGGAGTAACATTGGGATAACAGACCCCACAAGTTGATTGTTCATGAATTTATCACTGCGTAGTGGGCGTTAAATGGGTTAGGACGTGCTGGGGTGGACTGGAGATATGAGCAGCTCCTCTCCCACTGAAATATCCCATTACATAGCACAGCGTCTCAACATTAGCCTCTCCTAACCAAATCCTACTGTCTGGCCTCTCGCGCCAACCCTGTTTTTTTACTGAACGGCAGACGGTGTTCCTGGCGCTATAACCAGGTGCTCCGGTAGGTGGAGCTCGTAGGCTTGGTTGCCAGTCCACCTAGGAGAGGGACAACTCTGATCTCAAACCCGGGTAGGTAGAACTCGTCAGCCTAGGACCGCTGTCTGCCTAGGAGAAGGACAACTCTGATCACAAACCCGGGCAGGTAGAGCTCGTTAGCCTTGGTTGGTAGTCTATACTCGTAGCTGTTTGCATGCGACAGCGGCCACACCCCCGGCAAAGTAGTTTCAAAGGGTTAAGGGTATGTCAGCCCTAGCATGTGAAGACTGATTCCCGGCAGAGCGAGCGGATGAGATCAAAAGTGGATCCAACGGTCGTGAAGGCGGTGTCAGCAAGTGCTTGTGGAGCGTGTTAGAGCATGGACGTGACACATAGTAAGTCCTGGTCATCCACTGCAGCCTGGCAGTGTCCAATTGTAACGGCTCCTCGTGCCATTGGATCAAGACTCACCAGGCCGAGAGAGTGGGATTACCCCTATGCAACGATTCTCCCACTATAAAACACTCACGCACAGGTCTGTTATGCAACTCATCACCGATCTGTCGTCCCCTAAAAAGTCCTGCGGCGATGGGCGAGTGGCGAAGGCAACAGGTGTTTGGTGAGCACTGGCACTTGTTAGTCACAAACCTGCATGTAGGCGGCCTTTAGGAGAGTGGTCGCTCTTCTCCTGAACTTTGAGGGCAACCAGGAGAGCTCGGCAGCACCCAGGGCGACTGGGCAGCCTCTTTAGGACAGCACTGCCCACCGTTGCATGAGGGAGGGGGTTAGAAAAGGTACCCTAAACAAATGCTTTGCCCTCTTAAGTCTGGTCAGCTTACCGCGGTTGACAGACTCATCCTAACTGCGGTCGAAATAATAACAAAGAAAGTAAAAAGAAAAGAAAACTCATCATGGGAGCCTGGAATGTCAGAACACTCCTTGACCATGCTAACACCAGCAGACCCGAGAGAAGAACCGCGCTAGTGGCTAGGGAACTCCAGCGATACCGTGTCGATATCGCTGCACTCAGCGAGACCCACTTTGCCGACAAGGGATCCCTGAAGGAAGAGGGAGGTGGATTCACTTTCTTTTGGAAAGGGAAACGGCAAGCTGAAGACCGGATCTACGGAGTAGGATTCGCCATTAGGTCAACGCTTGTGAAGAACCTTCCTGAGCTTCCAGTAGGGATCAGCGAACGACTCATGAAGCTTCGCATCCCTCTCACCAAGAACAGGAACCTTATTATCGTTAGTGTCTACGCACCCACACTCTCAAGCCCAGATGAGGCCAAAGAACAGTTCTACCAGCTCCTCGACGAGACCATCAAGACCACCCCCAAGGCTGACAAGCTTGTCATCCTCGGGATTTCAACGCGTGAGTGGGCAGGGACTACGACAGCTGGGAGAGAGTCCTAGGGCGACATGGTGTGGGCAATGTCAACGACAACGGCCTGCTCCTCCTCAGCAAGTGTGCGGAACATGGGTTGTGCATCACCAACACCTTGTTCAGGATGGCGGATAAATACAAAACCACGTGGATGCATCCAAGGTCGAAACACTGGCATATGATAGACTTTGTCATAGTACGCCAACGTGACTTCAGGGACGTCTGCGTGACCCGCGCCGTGAGAGGTGCCGAGTGTTGGACAGACCACAGACTAGTGAGATCGGTCATGTGCACATCCCACCGCCACACAGAAATAAACCCAAGACCATCAGAGCCTCCTTCAACACTGCCAAGCTGAAGGACGAGTCCTACCTCGCCAAGTTCCAACAGACTCTCGACGAGAAATTTCAGGAGGGCCTACCCTCTGACAGTGATAGCATCGGGAAATGGTCCGCCTTCAAGACCATCGGCTCCGAGACGGCGAAGGAGGTGCTCGGCCCGAAAGCAAGGACTCACCAAGACTGGTTTGATGAGAATGAGGAAAATATCCAAACCGCCCTCTCTGCCAAGAACAAAGCCTACACTGAATGGCAGAACGATCCCACTTCAGTGCCCAAAAGAGCGAGGTTTAAGTCCCTCCAGGCAAAGTTGCAGGCTGAGCTGCGAGAGATGCGGGACAAGTGGTGGCAGGCGAAAGCCGAAGAGGTCCAGATGTACGCTGACACCCATAATACCAAGAAATTCTTCAGCTTCCTGAAGACAGTCTACGGCCCCTCGACCTCGGTATGCTCACCACTGCTGTCCTCGGACGGTGCAACCCTGATCAAGGACCAGGCAGGGCTCCAAGAACGCTGGAAGGAACACTTCAGCACCCTACTCAATAGACCGTCAACCGTGGACCCGGCTGCGCTTCACCAGATTCCACAGCAACCTGCAGTGGAGGAACTCGACTCTCCCCCAACAATGACCGAGATCAAGAAGGTAATCCGCCAGACCAGCTCCGGCAGAGCGTCAGGGAAGGACAGCATACCTGCAGAGATCTACAAAGCACTAGGCCCCAACGCCCTTGAAGCCTTCCACAATATTCTGCAGAGTGTGTGGGACGAGGAGAAGATGCTGGATGACTTCCGTGACGCCCTCATAGTCTCCTTGTACAAGAACAAGGGTAGCAGGGCGGACTGTGGCAACTACAGGGGCATCTCGCTTCTCTCCATTGCCGGGAAAATCTTTGCAAGGGTCATCCTCAACAGGCTGGTCACCGTCTCTGAGCGAATTCTTCCCGAAGCACAGTGCGGCTTTAGATACGCCAGAAGCACGGTGGACATGATTTTTGCTGTGAGACAACTACAGGAAAAGTGTACAGAACAGAACATGCCCCTCTATTCAGTGTTCATTGACCTGACCAAGGCATTCGACACGGTCAACAGAGAAGCTCTCTGGACTGTGCTCGAATGCATTGGATGCCCGAAGAAGTTCATCAAAGTGATACGGCTCTTTCACGACGGCATGACCGGTCAGGTCCTCACTAGCGGCGAAGTGACCGAAGAGTTTGCAATCAGCAATGGTGTGAAACAGGGCTGCGTTTTGGCGCCGGTCCTGTTTAACATCTTTTTTGCCCAAATGCTGTCACACGCCGACCAAGACCTGGAGAAAGGAGTCTCCATCCGTTATCGCCTGGATGGCTCCCTCTTCAACCTCCGTCGCCTCACCGCCAAAACCAAGTGTCGTTACGACCTCATCCAAGAAGCACTTTTTGCCGATGACTGCGCACTGATGGCCCACACAGACTCCGACCTGCAGCTCATGCTGGACCGCTTTACAGAAGCCTGCAAGCTGTTTGGCCTGACAATCAGCCTCAGCAAGACCGAAGTGCTCCACCAGCCTGCTCTAAACAATGACTCCCCTCCTCCAACCATCACCATCGATGGCACCCGGCTCTCCAACATCCAGAGCTTCAGGTACCTGGGTAGCATCATCTCACACGATGGCTCCCTTGATGAGGAGATCAACACCCGCATCAGCAAAGCAAGCCAAGCGCTAGGGAGGCTCCGCAACAGAGTCCTGAACCAGCACAACATACGCCTGATGACCAAACTCAAAGTTTACAATGCTGTGGTTCTCCACTCTCTCCTCTATGGATGTGAATCATGGACACTATATCGCAGGCACATCAAAAAGCTGGAGAGCTTCCACATGCGTGCTCTCCATCCTTGGTATCCAGTGGCATGACCGCGTCACAAACCTCGAGGTTCTCGACCGTGCAAAGTCTAACAGCATAGAATCGGTACTCATCAAGGCCCAGCTGAGATGGGTGGGGCACGTCATTCGCATGGAGGAACACCGGATGCCAAGACACCTGCTGTACGAAGAATTGGCGTGCGACAGACGAAAGCAGGGTCGGCCCAAGAAGAGGTTCAAGGACTGCATCAAATCCAACCTCCAGATGTGCGACATACATCCTAAGGACCTTGAGTCCCACGCCAGTAATAGACCACTTTGGGGATCGTTTGTGCACAAGGCCAGCTCCAGGTTCGATGAGGCCCGTCGACAACATCTGATTGCAGCGAGGGAAAAACGCCACCAGCGAGACAACCGGCCGACAACAACGACTGACTTCCAGTGCCCCCATTGCTCCATACTCTGTCAATCCAGCTTCGGATTGCGGAGCCACCTCCGAGTTCATCGAGTTGCCAAACTATGACGTCTTCTTCGGATCCGAAGGACCACCACCAGTGGGCGGATTGCCCACGGAGCAAGCAAATCGTTTGCTTTGCAGGGCAGGCAACTCATTCACAAACCAGGCAACTGATGGACAAGCCAGCCAGGATTAAGTGTTTCGTAGCACCTGGGCACCAGAGTTCTGTAGGCTGTACTCTGCCCTAGGCACCGGCACCAAATTCAAAGTACAAAGTACTGTACAAATCAAGCCAGGCCAAACTGGAATAGGTCCTAAAAGCCTGTTAGCACCAGGGGCGTGAATCGCTTCTCAAAAGTGGTCAGAACTATACGGCAAAAAAAAAAACATGTCTCAGGTTTCTGCTATGGAGCTTGCTCCAAAAGTGGTGCGGCAAAAACATTTTTTTTGCCTTACTTTTTTTATCGTTGGGGCACAGAAGTCGGAACAAAGTTGTTGGCTGGTATTGCAGATGACGCTTTGACCCCCTAAAAACTCTCAGGCTTCAGGATGTAGCTTGAGGTGACTTCAGTAAGGCCATAGGGCTTGAGAATTCTGCACCCACTTACGATCTCAACCCACACAAACATTTTTCGGAAAATTTGGATAGTCATGAGAAAAATCAGAGAAAATGGTATTAAACGCCAGACCCATACACACACAAAATACAGCAACATCAACATCGTGCATGTGCTGCCACTGCCAGGCTGGTCATTAGTCTGCTCCCTTAAATATTGAAAAAGCGTTTACAGGTTCCAGATGCACTACTATCGCTCCCTCAGTCTGGCTTCAAGATGCACAATTACAACACCATCTGTAAATGGTGCCCGACTAAATTTAATGCAAATAATATGAGAGGCCACATAAAGCTTATTCTCGATTGACTGCACCAAATTGTGCAGTGCAGCAGGACTCCAGTCAAACCAGTGAGATTGGCGGTTTCAAACGTCATCTTACATTGGAAAAAACTTTGATGTGCAGTGCTACAGTGATGTGTGCGCAGACCAGAAACCGGAGACTTTAGCCATATTTTTGTTTTAGCAGTAGATAATCATTAACACTTCATTTTATCAGCAATTCTGAGCTATAGAATTGTTAGGCTACAATTGTGTGTATTCGGGGATGAAAATAGTTGGGGGGGGACATGACCATGGTTCGAACCGTGCTGTTGTATAAATTATTGTTAAGATGTTAATTATAAAAGGGATATTTCTTTTATCCTGATTTTGCAAACCCCTTTTTTAGGGGTGGAAGAGGCACACAGACCATCATTATCTCCTTGACTCACAGACCTCCCCCCCCCCTTCCCTTAATTAACACACAGTATTTATTAAAAACACCTTACCGTGCATCGATCTCTCTTACAGGCAGCTGTCACTCCAATTACACCTGGTAAGATCAAGAACTGTAATAATAAAACAAAGGAACATCCAATGATCAATCTTGTTTTAAATAATATAAAAATACTGTATTCTCAGATTAAGGAGGTCCGTAATAAAGATATCAATAGTTAGCCTATTAATTACACCCTCCAAGCACAGGATGTTTCCCCTGGTTAACACTAGGAGCTATGGGACAAGGCCCCTAGTGAACCTTCAGGGAGCATTTTAAAGGCCTGGCACAACAAATTAACACTACTGCATTAACCCTCCTATGCAAACATGCATTCTGAGCCATGCCGTTACTTGGGTCAATATTGGTCAAGTGACCATCAGGTGGGGTTCTACAGCCAATATTTGGGGGGGGGGGGGCTAGCAGGGTGGATCCATATGTGACCCGGATATTGGCTCTTTTTACAAGTTTATTTTAACAGCAACAAAGAAAAAGGGTTGATGGGTAAGTCTATAATAAAAATACAGAAAGGAAACAATAATTAGTAAACATCAAACTATGTTAAGTATATAACTACAGTAAACTAGAGTCTAAGAAATAGGAAAATTAAATCAAAGTTAAATCAAAGTTAAATCAAACAAATTTCGAACTTATTGAATTCTTTCGTCAAATAATAAAGGTTCCTAGTTGAGGAAAATACGCTCGTAGGTAAAATTATCAAGGAACAAGTTGTTTCTTAATCCACCTACTTAAATATTCACAGCAACATTCGAGTCCAGGTGAGAACACTAAAACTCCTAGTCAGTGCTGCACTCAATATCAATTTACCACAAAAACTAATACATACTAATGAGCTAGGGAGTAGCAATACTAGCAACCTTTGTGGTTTTCCTGTGCAGGCTGATGGTGCACTGATCACATAGCAATTACCAGCAGCTGTACACAACCCTACTCACACAGCACAGTATTGTAGCGGTACTGCCTCGGACGACTGCCCCGGCGAGTAGCGGCGAACGGCCTAGCCTCTACGGTCGGGTACGCAGATCCGTTTCGGCGGAGATTTACCACGAGGCCCGCAGCAGACTACCAAAGGATCACCCTCACACGCACTCTCGCTCACACAACCCAAGCGGACTAACTAGGGGGACTGGGGAAGGATGGGGACCTGACACCAGATATGTGTTTCGGAAGATTATTTTATTCGCCTACCCAGGCGCCTCGCCTACGTGATCTTATACTCAATCACTTCCCTTACAAACTCAGAGATTACTTATTTATCTGGATTGTAATGCAGGAATCATTAATTAACTACACTCACACAAAGTATGAGGCTCCCTCCGCTGCGACTATAGGTGATTGGTGATTGGTTAATTGTGGGAGATTAGAACAGTGCAACTTTTCCTGAGACCGCGCACGGGTTCCGGCCACAGCAGAAAGAGGGCGAAGCTGAGCGCATGGCCGCTTATATACACTGGCGCAATTGGCTGGTGCCCCCATAAACCTGGGTGAGTGCACGCGCACCCCGCCGGCTACTAGTAAAGAATTAAAGTGCGCCCTCCATAAAATGCATTGCGCTACACAGGCGCCTTCCAAGTTTCGGTCAGCCCCTGACCTCAAACTGATTACTTAAATAAAAGCAATGCCTAATCTCTAAATCAAATTACTTCCAAAAGTCTGCTGCACTTTACAGTGATAATCCTAGTGACACCTACATGACTATCGCCTTAGAACATTGGTAGGTGATTCTCCTCAACAAGTTTAAACCTCTTAAATAAACTTTGGCATCCTTATAAACTGAACTTAAAGAACAAGGATACAACTCTGAGATAAACTTTAACATCTTTATAAATTGAACAAGCTTAAAACTGTTTGATACCCTTAACAGCATCATAAATCTAACAGCTTATATAAACTCTTATATAAACCTTAACGAGAACTTTGAGGCACAAAACTTAGGTGCAACATTTATACAAAAGATGGCCAACATGACTTTAGGTTTAACGAGAGGCGCAAATATCTCTTCTATTTGCCCGCCTAAAGTTCTATTTAACTATAGCTTGGCTTTAGGTTTAACAAAAGGCGCAAATATCTCTTCTATTTGCCCGCCTAAAGTTCAATGTTCATGTTCATCTTAGCGAACTCCTGCCAGGAAATTCACATTGAAGACCCGCTCGGGTCTGGTCCTTGGTCACCAGCATTCCTTCTTGGCAAACACTGCATGTCTCCATTTCCATTATCTTGGTGATGTTTCCTATCATGCTCCTCTCGAGCTCCTCGTTAATCATCGGGGGTCTGGCGCCTATGGTACCAGCGTCCTCATTCCTCATCAGCCGGCAGATCCTTGTAGGTTGTTTGTCATCATCAGCTCCCGAGCTCGCAGTGGGAGCCGGGGGCCTTAACAATACTACGTCGTAGTGGCGCGCACGGCGTTCGTGCACGGTTTGGGTTGTGCCAGTTATGACTTTGGTGTGTCCACCTTCAGTGATCCTCACAGAAAGCCCCGACAGCAAATAGCTAACCCGCAACTCCCTAGGTGAATTGCCATCTTCCTGCCTCCCCGTGGAAGACTCATCCGACGACATCGCCTGTTGTTCAGCGCCTTGCTGCCTCATCTCCCTCATCATACTTAGGGGTTTTCCTCCTGCAGGCGTCGGACGTACGTTGCTCACAGGAGCCTCGACTTCGTCAATGTCCCATGACATTGACATAGGTGACAAAGCTATCTCTGCTGCATCCTCTAGTGGTGATCTGGTATCCTGCGGTCCCTGGCAGGATTCCGTCTTGGTAGTGGTGCTGCGAGCCTGCCGCCAATTTGTTCTGTTTGGCTTTGTCTTTCGGATTGAACGCCTTCCTCCCCCGCCTGCACCTCCTCAAGTGGTAGGCTAGGCGTTTCTGGCGTAGTACTGAGTTCAGGTTCTTCTCCCTCGTAAGGAATTGGACTCATCGGATTTGGCTCCGGTTCCTCTGGTGTGTCACCTGCGTCTAAGGGATGACTGTCCGCTTGTCTCGGTGTTTCGGCCCACGCCTGGATCGGCTCACCTAGGTAGGGTTTCAGTCGGTCGCAGTGGACGACCTTCATCTTCCCCTTCTGTTTCCTTTGTATCCTGTAGATGACGTCCGATAATTTATCCAGGATGAGGTAGGGTCCCTCCCATCTGCACTGAAGTTTAGGTGATAGTCCCTTCTTTTTGGCCGGGTTATGTAACCACACAAAGTTACCGGGCTCCAGTTTGGGTCTTGTTGCTCGTCGATCATAAGTTTTCTTTTGCCTCCGGGCGCTCTGCTGCAAGCGAACTCGGGCCCTGTCATGAGCAGCTCTCATTCGTTTCCGCAGCTCGTTCGCGTAGTCCGTTCCTACGACGCCTTCCGGTTCCGTTTCGCCCGCTGCTACTTCAGTAGTCAGATCAATGGGTAGGCGTACCTCCCGCCCCAACATAAGCATGTTTGGGGACTCGCCTGTCAACTCCTGCGGCGTCGCTCGATATGCAAATGTTGCCAGCGGAAGTTTGTCGTCCCAATCACGCTGTTGCCTATCAGGCTTTATCATCATGGCGACCATGTTTATCAACGTACGATTGAATCTCTCAATCATTCCGTCGGACTTCGGGTTGTAAGGGCAAGTCCGTGTCTTGTCAATGCCAAGGATGTGACACATCTCTGCAAACACCGTCGATTCGAAGTTACGGCCCTGGTCGGAATGAAGGACTTCTGGCACTCCAAATCGGCATACGAACTCCTTCACAAACTTCTCTGCCACTGTTTCCGCTGTCTGGTCAGGTATGGGGTAAGCTTCCATCCATTTACTAAGGTAGTCTCCTACGACTAGGATGTATTTGTTGCCCTTCGCACTTTCTGGTAGGGGGCCCATAATGTCTAGCGTGACACGCTCCATAGGCGCGCCCACTACATGCTGCTGTAGTGGCGCCTTCCTAGCCCTGGCGGGGGATTTCCGCTTCGCGCACACATCGCATCGCGGACCTTGGCCCTGGTTTTCTTCACTCCCAAATGCCCGCTTGTCTTCCCTCCATGTAACTCTTTCACCAACTTGTCGCGGTATTTTTCGCACCGCAAGTTGCTCCCACAATCGCCAGTATGTCTTCACCGCTGAAGACCTTGCAGACATCACTGCCCAGTCGGGTCTCTCTGCTGACTCCTCTTTGGCCTTGAGCACCCAGCTAATTGATGTGTCCTCCATCTGCGCCTCTCTCATCTCCGTGCAGGTGATGGTAGGCGAAATGGTCACACTTCTCACTCCTGCTACAGGAACTGTTGTCTCCTCATAGGCATCTTCACCTACAGGTGTCGTCAGCTTTGGCACTTCGTTCTGTTCATCCCGTCCGCACTGATTACATGGTATGCGCGACAATCCGTCTGCGTTGCCGTGTGAGCGTCCTGCTCGATGGATAATCGTGAAGTTGTATTCACTTATAACCTGCAGCCAACGCGCCATCTGACCCTGTGGCTCTCGAAAGTTGAGAAGCCAACGTAGAGCTCCGTGATCTGTCCTTATAGTGGCCTTCATACCGTACAGGTACTGTCGGAACTGCTTCAGAAATACGACGACTGCCAGCAATTCACGGCGCGTCACACAGTAGTTGCGTTCCGCCTTACTAAGCGTTCTACTAGCATAGGCGACCACCATTTCCTTCCCGTCCGTCACCTGTGATAGGACCGCGCCTATGCCCACGCCACTCGTGTCGGTGTCTAGTATGTACTCAGCCTCTTGGTCAGGGAACTTCAAGACAGGTGCCTCCTGAAGACTGTTCTTCAAGTCTTGAAATGATTCTTCGCATTCACTCGTCCACTCGAACACTCTCCCCTTTTCTGTCAGGCGGTGTAACGGACGAGCCCTATCAGCAAAGCTTCTGATGAATCTGCGGTAATAGGACGCTAGTCCTAAGAAACTCTGCACTTCCCTTACCGTCGTAGGTGTAGGCCAATCCCGTACAGCCTTCACCTTCTCCGGATCTGTCGCAATCCCATCCCCAGACACTACGTGTCCCAGGTACAGAACACGCTGCTCGAACAAGTGACATTTCTTTGGTTTAAGTTTTAGACCTGCCTTCCTTAGGCGCTGAAAGACTGTCTCAAGGCGACTCAACTCCTCTTCAGCCGTCTTTGCGTACACAATAACATCGTCGAGGTAGACGAGTAGCGTCTCCCAATGCAGTCCGGCTAACACCCTCTCCATCAATCACTCGAACGTGGAGGGGGCGTTGCATAGCCCGAACGGCATTACTCGCCAGCTGTATAAGCCTCCACGGATCACAAAAGCAGACTTCTCCCGGGCCTCGTCGTCTAACTCGACCTGCCAATAGCCGGAAGCCAAATCCAAGGTGGAAAACCACCTGGAGCCTGCCAGCGCGTCTAGTGAATCATCGATCCGGGGGAGCGGGTAGGCGTCTTTAATTGTGACTGCGTTTAGGCGACGGTAGTCTACACAAAACCTCTTACTTCCGTCTTTCTTTCTCACGAGGACTACGTTGGATGCCCAAGGGCTGTCCGAAGGTTCAATGGTGCCATTCCGCACCATTTCTTGCACCTGCCGCTGGATTTCCGCCTGTTCAACGGGAGGATATCTCCTTGGTCTCTCCTTTATGGGCCGGGCATCACCTGTAGTAATGCGGTGGCGAACCAAGTCTGTGCGTCCTATGTCTCCCTCTCCCTTTGAGAAAATGTCCTCATATTGGCACAACAGCTGAGCTATTCTGTTGTGGTGTCCCGGCTCCACGCCTTTCTTGCTTCGCTCGAACAAGTCCACAAGATGTTCAGGAACATCGTAGGAGTCTCCCGGCGAAGAAGCCCCCGATTGTACTTCTTGTACGTCGCCTTCACCTACAGGCGTAAACGTCTCTGCCGTCGTCCCTTTCTGCACGACACATTCTCTCTTGCCGGGGTTGTATACTCGAATGGGAAGTGAATGCTCACCGCCATCACCAGCACCCTTGCCACTATCATGCCTTTATCTGCTATTTCACTCCTCCCTGTAGGCTCAATCACTCCGACTACACCATTCGACTTGTTACCATACACGTATCCTGGAACTAGCGCCTCATGACCAGCTGGCACTCTGGTAGTTTCACCTACGACCACTCTAGCACACAGTCCACCCCCTCGGTCATCTGTGCACTTGATGGTTTCCCCATTTAACTTCAGCTCTAGCGTCCGAAAGTCTAGGTTACCCTGGGTTGGAATCAGGAAATCCATCCCTAATATGCCTTGCATCTGTCCTGTGTTGCCAAAGACTACGTTGATGGAGTTCATTGTTTTGCCAACTTGAATGTCTACGTAGGCACTACCGAGTGTCTCCATCTTACTCCCATCAGCATTCCGTACTCCTGCGCCTATGGTTGTAAGTCTTGGTCTTTGATCCCTGGAAATATTGAAATAAAGTTGAGACGACAACACAGTGTGTGTTGCCCCTGTGTCAACAAGAAGTTTTACTTTGACCCCTCTCACAATAGCCTGCACGAATAGGCCATTGCCCGCTACTTTACTTGTCTTTGTTGAGGTTTCTTTGTCGCCTTCGATTTTCTCGCCTAAATTCTCTCCAGCGCGGTACTCTACGGCGCCTTCTGGCCCTGCTGTTCCGCCAGCTTTCCCACGGGCCGCTGGGGCAGCTGCTGGTCGTTTCCTGACTTAATTTTCTTCTCTGCGCTGGGTTGTTTGCAACTCCTTGCAAAATGTCCTTTTTGTTTGCAATTGAAGCAAACGTCCTCTGGGGTTGGTTTTCGCCTCTGGTAGGCGACACGCGAACGATCGCTCCTCTCTTGAGGCCGGAGGGTGTCAAGTCGCTGGGTCATCTTCTCCAGCCACTCCCTCACCTCGCGCTGATTTTTCTCAGCCGACTCTTTCATCTCCGCTTGATTTCTTCCAAGG